GGACACACCGACAAAGGAGATTAATCAGAACTGACTTTGACAAGCACTGTGGCAATTGGACAATTAAAACAGACATTTGGATGGCGGGGAAGAAGAACGAACTGGGGAGGAGGGTGGAGGGAATGGTGCGGCAATGAAGGAGTGAAAGCCCAGAGTCCCTGTGAGTGTTCATTGAAACTAATAAAATTTAATAATAATAATAAAAAAGAATAAAACTGCTCATAGCACTTCCAAGACTGTAAATTTTTATGGAAACAGATAACCTTATCTTTCTGCCCTGGAAAAAATGGTGAGTTCAAACCCCTGATCTTTTAATCAGTAACCAAATCCATAGCCATTGCACCAGTGGAGCTCCTAGTATATATGTAAAGATATTGTAAGAAGTTATGGAAAGAACAAAACAGAACAGAAAACAGACAGATGCAAAGATACCACAAGATCCCAGGTTACAAACTAGTACTCATCCTTTAATATCAGGTAAATTTGACTCCACATTGAAAAAGATTGAATCAACCTCTACTTTGAACAAATTCTTCATCACAACTACCTTTATTTGCTGCATGTGCAACTTTAAAGTCGTTGAAAAGTTTTCAGTCTTTTCTTGCATTCAAACAAAGAAACAAAACCTCCATTGCTGTTAGTGGATTCGAAGTCATAGCAACTGTATAGACAGAGTGGATAAACCACAGGATTTCCAAGGCTCTAAATCTTTAGGGGGAAAAAATAGATTCTACTGGGAAAGATGGTTGGTCACAAGAAGAGAGGAAGACTCTCAAAGAGATGGACTGGCGCAGTGCCTTTAAGAATGAGCTCAAGCATATTAGAGACTGAGAAGCTGGAGCAAAACAGGGCAAGTTCCAGTATGTGCTACATCAGGTCGCTATGCATCATGGTCTACTCAACAGCCCTTCATGACAACAAAGGTAAATCTGCACAGAAGCATAGTCTTATCTTTCACATTTAGTGTATTCAAAATCCACCAAATTTTGGAGGGCAACTCAATAGTTAGCTCATTGTGTAGTCAGAGTTTCCGCTTGCGTTAAAAACCCATATTCAAAATGGGTGACCCTGGAGGACATTATTCTGAGTGAAATAGCTTAGTCACAAAAGGACAAATACTGCACATGGCCACTGTTGTAAAACAGGACTGACATTGGCATTGAGGGGAGACTGAGAAAGATGGAGTAAATAATGTATACTGCATTGAAACAGATGAGGGAGAGAACTGTTTAAAAGGAATATGTGATTAGGTATTATTGTCATGACAGAAGTCTAGAACAAAGACTGCATAGTGAATTAGACTTGGGGGGAGGGACTGTATAACAATGAAAAAATTTTTCTTTTACTTTTCAGAGAGAAGAGAAAACGGGGGGGGGCAGGGAGAAAAGAGCAACAATGAATGAATGGAAATCCAAAGTCTCTGTAAATTTTCCTTAAAATTAATAATAATAATAATAAAACCCCCTAGCATTTCATATCAATCTATGCTAAATTCAGGAAAAGATTTAGCTAAATAAAATCTACATTAAAAAATGTTAAAAAAACCAAAACCCTCATCCTCATTGCTGTTGAGTTGGAATCGACTCATGGTCAGCCAGCTCGCATGGTTTCCAGTGCTGTAAAGTGCAGCAGGGGAGACTGCCCGTCTTCCTCCAACAGAGGCCACACTTAGATTTGAACCACCAAAGAGGAGCTGCCTTTGGGTTAGTCTATAGTGTGACTCTCTGTTACTACATCACCAAAGCTCTTCTATTAAGGTAAGCCTAAGTAAAGCATATGTATCTGTTTTTACTTACCTACATATTTGACTTAAACATACACTTAGGTAACCTAGGGGTTGGCTGTAGGCAATTCAACCTTTAGTTATCAATAATAGCCAATAAATAGAAAAAAACCCTTTAATTTCACTAGTCAACTGATAAATACAAATAAAAGTCAATAAACACTTCAATGATCATATTAAAAATTATACATTAGATAATGTCAGGTTAGTAGAGTTAATATGTGCACTGTTAGCTGAAATGTAAGTAATATAGTTACATTGGGGGGAAGTATTAATAGTTAATAAAATAATAATTAAATACTTTATAATCATCGCATTCCCGACATGCCAAATTTGAGCCCTGATGGCTTCATGTTAAGGTTTTGTACTGCCCACCCAAAGGCACGTGGTTCAAATTCACCAGCATGAGAAAGGTGAACAATCTTCTCCCAGGTGATTCACTGTCTCTGAAAACCTACTGGAAGGCCAGCTAGGAGTCAGTTCCACCTCAACAACACACAACAAAAGAACATTACATACTATAAAGTTTGACACTTACATGCAAGTGCACATTTGAGTCGGCTTCCTTTTTGTCAGAAATAACAAAGAAAGGTTACTAGAATGTTCATATATAGTTTTCTCTTTCTCTTTTTTTGCCATGTCCCCTCTTGACTGCTTTTGACTCTGTCTCCCAGATATTACTGCGTTCACCAGATTCCATGCACATTTGATTATAGGTCAGCATGGAACCTGGGCAATACCTAGGTGGCCTAAAGTATAGTGGAGATCTAAGAAGAGATGTTCTCCTTTCTCTGCAAATAGAGCATAGATTCCAAAGCACATCACTGAGAGACACCAAAAGACTGAGTCATGGGTGAGAATGGTCTTTCAGCTTTTACTCAAACTTCTCACCCTTGGTCTACTGAATTTCCAGTATGAATTCCAGATGCGAGACAGGTTAGCTTGAGAGCCACAGACATACTAGAATTTCCACTTCACTCTGAGCATGAAGTCTTCCTTACAGCAGCTGGAGATACCTACATCTTATTTTCTTTCTTTTTTTTATGTCTTATTTTCTTATCAACGTCAATGTCAATGGTGTCTCTCTGGAGACTAAGGTGCGTCTGATACAGGCCATGGTCTTTGCAATCACTTGTTATGCATCAGAGAGTTGGACAATGGCTAGGGAGGATAGAAGGAGAATTGATGCCTTTGAGCTGTGGTGCTGGAGAAGAGTATTGAGAATACCATGGACTGCTAGAAAAACAAACAGATTCATCCTGGAGAGGGTTAAACCGGGCTGCTCCTTGGAGGCAAGGATTCTGAGGCTCCGTCTAACATACTTTGGACATGTTTTAAGGAGGGACTGGTCCTTGGAGAGGGACATCATGCTTGGTAGGGTGGAGGGACAGCACAGGAGGGGAAGGCCCTCTATGAAGTGGATTGTTTCAGTGACTAGGGTAGTTGGGATGGGAGTTTCAGAGACAGTGCGATTGACACAGGACAGAGCGGAGTTTAGAGCTGTTGTACATAGGGTCGCTATGAGTTGCAGGCGACTCGACGGCACATAACAACAATAACAACAATTTTCTTATAGTGAGCTCCTCACAGGAGTAATTTTCCAATGGCATAGCCAGAGTATCACCTTATGAGACATATTGACATGTATAAAATATGGACAAAGATGATATATGAATCATTGACATTAGCGTTCCTCAGATGAAATGATCGTTAGGAAAAATACTCAACAAAACAGAAACCAGCTTTGTTGGGTCTTGTGGTAGGTGAATGAGGAGACTGAAGACCTGACAGGTGACCACAGGACCCTTTGTTTAGAAATTTTTTCAGGGTGGGGCTGCTCAGCGTGAGTGAAGTAGAATGAATACAGTTTATGGTGCAGATTATAGCTTCCCAGGCTCAGAACCAGGAGCTCTTCTCAAAGAGGACACCTGTAAAGAAAATGAGTAGTATCAGAAAGTAAGAGGTGAAGATGATGAAGGAAATGGCAAGAGACTTGAGGGTTGTGGCGTTGAACTTCCCTGCTGAAGCTGCAGTGACCAGGTTGTGGTGCTGCATTTGCTCCCAGTGTTGCGACAATGAGGCGATAAGCATGGTAGTGGAGGCCAGGAACAGGAGGAAAGGAATAGCCAAGGTAATGATCTGATGAGGAATCCCAATGTAATGCTGGAACATGCCATGTCCCTCAGGAAGAGTGTTGCTTCTGGGGGAACTTCCCATATTAGGCTGAATCTGCTCCAAATTCCTAATAGCGAAAGGAACATTTGCTACACAAGAAATCAGCAGAGTTCCCAGCAGCAGCCAAGGAACCAGTCTTGAAAGCCTCCACTTCAGCCGGAGGAAGATGGGATGGGTGAAGGAAGAGACCTTGACACAGTAGAAGATGGCAAGCAAGCTGCTGAACCAAAGGATGGTAGTATTAGCAACATGCCACAAGGTTTCTCCACTCAAGCATATGTAATCACAATCAAAGGAGGAGTAGAAGTTGTAAAATATTGATGTGAGCTGTACACAGAGTTTAGGGATGCTCAGACTGATGAAGATCATGTTCAAGGGTGACAGCCTTTTGACCTGCACCTGTTCCCTGCCCATCACTGAAACAATGAAGGTGCTCTGCACAATGATTGTCAAGGACAGCAGGACGTAGATGAGCATGAAGAAGACAGAGGGTTGCCTGGGCATCATTCTTCCACCTCAAGTACCTTCCTGGAGTTAGAATTTCTGCATCAATTTCTAGATTGGAAACAGGAGTTTTTCTTAGTATTGAAACAATGAAGGTGGTCTGTATACAGTGATTGTCATGGACAGGAGGACATAGATGAGCATAAAGAAAACGGTTGTCTGACATCATTCCTCCATCTCCAAATACCTATCTAGACTCAAAATATCCAGTCATTTCTAGGTAGGAAACAGGTGCCTCTTCCCAGGACTACCTGATAGAGGATGCTGCTTCCTTCTGGATGCAAATTATCCCCAGGTCATTTTTTACTCTTCCATTTCCTTGTTTATCTGATTTGCTTATACTTTGTGTGCTGCTGTTCCTGTGAGCTTATGTACAGGGAAATATTGCTTGAGTGTTGATTTTTTAATTCTAAGTTTATTTGATTATTTCCATAAAAGCATCGTTATTTCATACACAAGCTGGGTCCTGCTTCTTTCTCTGCAGAGCCCACTTTTTCTTTTAATCTTTAAATTACCAGTTTACTCTTTCATCCTAATCCTGTTCTGAGTAACATTTGTGTTCCTCTTGACTAATATCAACCTCAGAAATTTAGTCTCCCCATTTTCCGCAGAACCTTGAATAAAAGGATGAGGACAAATTAAAAATAATACAGGAAAATCTTTGTACTTAGAACTCTATTTATAAAACTAGTGAAGGTTAAGAACTTTAATGACCTCTGTAGAATGGAAGCTATTCTTCCTTAGAATTTTCCAGCTTAGAGAAATCACTATCACTCCCCACGCGTTCCCTCTATTCCAAATGAAGCATCCTAAATTGTTGGTCTTTTCCCATTCCAGAGTTTCAAGCATTAGCTTTCTATATCTTTGGGGTTTGTTCTTATTTTCATCCTAATCCTTCAGTGAGGTTTGGTTTTTGTTAGCTTTTGGCTGTTGTGTTTTGTTTGGGGGGTTTGGTTGTGTGGTTGTTTTTGGTTTTTTTTAATCACCGCCTACATGGTTACCGATGAACCTAATCCAATTTTGAGGGCCTGTGCATAGTCGACTATCTTGCAAACATTCTAGGTTTATTTTTAGTAAATCAAAATGCTATACACACACACACACACACACATATATATGCACACATTTATACATACAGATATTGTATATGTACATACATATGCACATCTGTACCCACATGTATGTACACATCACAAAACATTAGTATCCAGAATATACGTATAAATCCTCACCACCAGGCCAATAAGCAACATCATGATAAATGGAGAAAACACTGAAATTGTCAACAATGTTATCTTACAAGTATCCACAATCAAAGCCCTTGGCATCAGCAGTCAAGAAATCAAAAGATGTATTGCAATGAGAAAGTCTGCTCTTGGTGGCCTCTCCAATGTACCGAGAAGCAATGATATTAATTTAAAGATTAAAGTGTGCTTGATTGAGGCCATGATCATTTATTATGTACCTGAGAGTTGGACAACAAATAAGGATTACAGAAGAAAAAAAATCATTGCCTTTGAGCTGAGGTCTTGGAAAATGTACTGGATAGCCCATGGACTACCAAAAGAACAGACAGAAGAGTCTTGAAGAACGTTTGGTGAGAATTTTCCTTGGAGGCCAGGATGGAGAATCATCTCATATACTTTGGGCATTTGTGAGGAAGGCCTTCCTCAGAGAGAGACATCATGCTTGGACAGGTGGAGAGTCAGCAAGAGAGAGGAAGACCTTCAACAAGACAGAGTGACGCAGTGACTACAGCAATAAACCCAAGTGTGTCAGAGATGATGAGGACGGTGCAGGATAGGACAGGGTTCAGATCTGTTCATAGTTTCACTGCAAGTCATACTTGAATTGAAAGGATATAGCAATAACAGAATATATGTAAGCAACTCATAAAAATGTGCATAAAAACCCTGCCACAAATTGGCAAATAAAAGAGTGCTGTATGTCCCAAAGTTTCAAAAATCTTACTTGTTGATAACTCTTTTACTGATTATAATTTGAGTAAAAAATACATGAAATATTTTAATTTTTCACGCATGCATAAACCGTCATCCTCTTCATCAGTGGCAAGTTTCACCTTTTCCTGTGCAATTTTGTTACCATCTGCAGGAGCAGATCTCTTTCCTGATATGAGTTTCACAGCCTCCTCCTCTTCATCATCTGACTCTGCATCTTCCTTCACAGCTACTAAGTGTTGTCCACTTACATGCACAGGCCCTGAGCCACACTTCAATCGTAAGACGACAGGTGCTGTTATTCCAAAGCCCCTCAAGCGAAGCCGTTGGCTGTACAGACATTTTCAAAGTTGCCAGTGTTACTTTAACTGGGCTGCCCTCATAATTCATTGCCTCCGCTTCGACAATGTGCAATTCATCCTTTGCACCGGCCCCTAAACTGGCCGTTCTGAAAGATAACTGGTGCTCATTCTCGTCATTATCCACCTTCAAGTGATAATCTTTGTCAGCTTTCAGTTCACAACCGAAAAGGTAGTTTAGGAGCTGCAGGGGCTCATGTCCATATCCATCGAATCTTCCACGGGTTGGTGGCTCATGTTTACATGGGAGAGGACGGCAATAAAACATCTCTGTAGATGTTCATTGAAATGAAAAATAAACAACCTAAATTTAAAAAAAAAAAACAACAAAAACAACAATAACAAAAAAACAAACGTATTTGCTGGAGAGGTTTGTGCGGGGAGAAGGGTGCAACAATGAATGAATGGAATTCCAAAATCTCTGTAGATGTTCATTGAAATGAAAAATAAACAACCTAAATTAAAAAAAAATTATAATAAATGAAAACCATACAATAAAAAAACCCAAAATGTATTTGAAATGAATAAGTCATTGATTAATTCTGCTCCTATTCAACTCCATTCAATCCTTACATTGTTCTTGTCACAATTTATATCTTTGCTGTGTACCTGTTAACAAAGATTTTTTTTTAAATTCAAAACCTTATATTGTGATTTGAATAAAAGTTTATGGAGAAAAAAAAACACCACTGTTGCAGAGAACGGCCCACAGGACGGAATCACAGTAGGACTGTCTTTGATGATTCTTCGTGCAGTTTCAGATTTGTCAAAACACAATGGATTCACATGTTTTCCAAGTAGTCGAGCAACAAATTGCTTCCCCCTGCTCTTGGTATTTAATAACGTTCTCAGTCGATGCTTCACATGTGACAATGGTTCCCCCAAAGAGCAGCATTTTAAAGAATATCTAATAGTAACTGAAATGTAAACTGGTCAGAGCTAGGTTAGGAAGCATTATCTCTCTTATTTCCAATTCTGACGCTGCTCTGTATAGCCTGAAGCATGTGAGTTGGGGTTTTTTTCTTTCTTATCTCATCCTTTAAATAAGAATCAAAGTACTAATATGTTTACTCTCCAATTTACTGAATATACACATTACTGAAACCCTGGGAGCTTGTACTCAGTCAAATAGCAAATTTCAAATTATAGGAAATGCAAGAAGTCTAATTTAATAGTGAATGAGGTCAACCCAAGTACCTTGGGCAAAATTCTGACCAAAAGGAGTAAAGACCAGTTGTTACCAGAACAACAAACCCCCAAAGTTTCTGGATAACATGCGTTCTGTATTTCCTCATCCTCAACAAGTATTATTCGTGACACCGTGAAACTTTGAACTCTCAAAGTTCAGAACTTTTGGCCTCTGTGGTACTGTGGAGGACTATAACTCCCGTTTTTCTTCTGTTATATTTAGTTAATCTCATGTTTTCCTTACATCAGCTGCCCAACCCTAGGACATAATATAAGGCCATGAGTCTGGGAGGGGCTAGAGAAGAATGACAGATATTGCTGTGAGGCACAGGCATCTCTGGTGACCTAGTGGTAAAGAGATGTGCTACCAACCCAAAGATTCCCACTTTAAATCCACCACCTGCTGCCTGGGAGAAAGGTGAGATATTTCCTGCTATGCCGTTTACAGCCTCTGAACATCCAATCACTGTGAGGCGATTCTGACTCACCAGCATGTAGCAACAACAGCACCACTGAGAGATACACTGCTCTTGCAAAGTCTCCAATAGTGATTCTTAAAGCGTGGTCCATGGATCAGCATCGTGTTGGAGGTCGTTGTTGTAAGGTGCCATTGCGTGAACTACAAATTAAAGTAATCTGTTAATAACAAATAAGAACCTTGCCTCTTCTGTGCCAGTGTCAGACATGGAGTGTTTGACATACAAATTCTAAAGTGGTGTCTCCCCCCAAAAAAAAACCCTCAACTATGTAACAAGGCAGAATAATATGTTGTAAGGTGACATCAAGGTGGGTACAACTCATAGCAACCCTATGAACAATAGACTTGACTCTGTCCTATCTTGTACCATCCTCACAATCTGGCATGTGTAAGCAGACTTCTGCAGTCACTACTTCAGTCCATCTCATTGAAAGTTGTCCTTTCTTTCATTGAACCCCTACCTTTTCAAGCATGATGTCCCCTTCCAAGGGATAGACTCTTCTAACAATTTACCCAGAGTCTGTGAGACAAAGCTTCACCATCCTTGCCTTTAAGGAGCAACTCTGCCTGCACTTTCTCCAAGACATATCTGTTGTTCTTTTGATTTACATGGGATATTCAAGACTCTCCTCCAATACCACAACTCAAAGATGTCAACTCTTCTGTCATCCTAGTCATTGTCCAGGCTTCAGATGCATAGCACATTTTTTTAAAAGGTTTTAATCAGACACACCTTGTTTTTTAAATTGGCATCCTTGCTTTTCAAGACCCTGAAGAGTTCCCTGATAGCAGACTTTCCAAATGCAATATATCATCTAATCTCCTGACTGCTGATACCAAGGTTGTTGATTGCGGATCCACATAAGAGGATGATTCGGTCTGTCAATGCTTTATTATGATTTTCAGTTTCTTCTGACATCCATTTTTGTCTTTTCTTTCTCCTCTGTCTTTGTAACTATTTTTTGTTCTCTTTGTGGATGATAATGTTTTATGACATCCTTCAAGTCATCTGGCCTT